GCAATTGAATCTGTGACCATTTGTCATCAGAGAAACGAAAGTTTTCTTCCGCCCATTTAGTCTGGCATCTTGGTTTGGTTGCTTTTGGGAGAAGTGCCTGATACATTGTCCTGCACAACGCAGTTTTCAACTGTGCTGTGCTATCATCTGGCATTCGTATCTCGGGGACCGAGCCACTGTTATCCAGCGCCAGGGTGTGCTGCCTCATGACGACTTTCCATTGGCGTGGGATGGCATGAGCCAAACTTTGATATTTATATAAGGCAATCCGAGTTCCTGGGTGTTTAAGGCCGTTGTACACGGGCAACTCCCGCCGGCAACTCTCAGCAATCGGTTGCTCGGCGACTCTGGGCAACCGATCGCCGGGCAACCGGTGGCAGCACGCGAGCAACTCCTAGCAACACCGATGAATTTGCTTTCACATTGCTGACGTCATAATTACGTCACGCCGAGGAACTGGGCGACTCTCGACAACCGGCATTCCAGCCCACCGGCAACCGGGCGCAGATGTGTTTTGAGGTTTGTGGCGTTTGATATTAAAGTTTTCTGCATATTATACCTATATGTATCGATATGTATTAATGATAGCTTGCCTGTGCCATCGTTCGCTAGTGATGCCACTATTTTTTTAATGCCAAAACGTTGTATTAAAGGTTAAAACAAATATCAAAGGTTGGAGTACGCCATTGTATGTTGTTTTATCTGTGGTGGGTTGATAATTACTAAAATGATAATTAGTCCAAAGCTATTGCTTTATTGAATGGGTGCTTTCAGGGGTCATACAGCTCCCTTCATTGGCCTTGGCTAATGTAGATACGTAAGAACAGTTGATGCACAATCATTTCCAACAGATGTTAAACCACATTGACATGGTAGACATGGAACAAAGTCAAAGATGAACATATTTCTGCAAATTTACTGTCATTGTCATGTCTGATTAAAACATGATATGATATTGTTATCTTGTTACCATGTATTGTTTTTAGATGATCAAGATATTGTTAATTTAAACCAGATAAGGATATTACTATGCAATACTGTTGTCATATTTTGTTTTTCTGATTGATCTTCTGACCTATCTTGGCATATCTTGTTTTTATTTAGAGATGCTGATGACGCCATGGTGATATATTTACGAAAACATGTTCATCTTTGATTTTGTTCCGTTTTTGATAGATATACGTATAGCATTGCGGACTGTGGGTAAACAGTCTATTCAGTGTCCACATCTCATTCTACATCACTGGATAATTTGGAAAAGAGTGGATAACACTTTTCATGAACTTATCCAGTCTGTTCTTGAAAGACAGTGGACTGTGCCTCAACTATGTCTGCAGGGGGCTTGTTCCACGCCTTTACCAGCCTTTGTGAGAAAAACTGTTTTTTTGTGCCTTTAACCTGCAGCTTGTTTTGGTGTCCTCTTCTTGCAGTGTCTTGACTTCTGACAAAAAAACTGACCTGGTTCTACATCCAGCTTTCCTGGCAGCAGCTCTAAAGTTTCAATCAGGTCGCCTCGCTGCATGCTCTCCTCCACACTCAGCAGTCCAAGAGTGTTCAGTCTCTCCTCATAGCTCACCTGCTTCTTGCCTTGAACCAACTTTGTTGCCCTGCGTTGCACTGTTTCCAGCACCCTAACGTCCTTTGTGTATAGAGCCATGGCTTGGAGACAATGTTCCTTCCTATTGTTTTGCATTTGTAGATTTGTAGATAAGCAATTATTCAATGGATACTTTTTTGCACTGGCATCTTTCCAACTCATGAATAACCTTGTCAGCCTCATCCACTACAGCAGTCAGTAGGCAAATGGTAGGAATTGGCTCTTGGGTTGGTAAAGGGTAGGAAAAACTGCATCAGAAGGTGCACCAGTTTTACAAACTGGAGCAGATAAGACATGGTTGGCTTTACATCATTTTACACAAGGAAAAAATCACATTGTCAAAGAGTTAAACTGCAGCTATGCATGTGATTGCATTTATTTGGATTTCATATTTGATATGAATGTGTTAATTTATGATAGCACAACTCTGAAATTAAGAAAAAATCAAGATCCACCTCATCCAAACACATCCAAACATCATGATCACCTTGCAAGTATGAGCATGCCCTTTTGTCAATTGCGTGTCTAATAGTTGCTGTCTGCTTTCAGCCATGGACGGAGATAACGATGCCATTGAAGCTCGTCTGCAGCGCATCAGGATTCTGCGGCTTATCAAGCTCCGTCAGCGCAGAAGACGCCGCATGTGGGTGCGACCGGTGCTGGCTGCTCGCGACGAGCTCGGGGAGTTCAGCCACCTCGTCAGCCAGCTGCGTAGTGACCCAGCTGCCCACCAGCAGTACCTGCGCCTGACGCCAGCCGAGTTTGATTATCTGCTGGGCCTCGTGCGGGACGACATCGCTAAAGAAGTCACCAACATGCGACGTCCCATCCCACCTGACGAGCGACTGGCCCTAACCTTGCGGTAAGCAATTTTGCTGTTTCAGGCTGATTTGTCGTACCAAAAATGGTCATTTGCATATTTAATGCTTCATTTAAAGTGTTCCATGGCGAGGACTTGAAGCAGGTCATTATTTTTTTTTTCACCGTGAGGCCCACCGCCTGCCGGGTTAAGGTCAACTACTGACACCTGTCAAAGTGTCAAGCCCTGAACCGAACCAGGTAATGGTGGGACGTTTGTTGCCGATCAAACTAGAAACGGCTGACTGTTGAGCTACCTATTCCTGTCGTTGCAGATACCTGGCAGCTGGAGGCGCCATGAAAACGATTGCGGAGTCGTACCGCATCGCCCCACGCACAGCGACAGGGATAATATATGAGGTGTGCGAGGCCATATACCAACGGCTCGCCCCTCTCTGCCTGCGCTCCCCGACGCTGAACGACTGGCATGCATCAGCTGACGACTTCTTGGAATTGTGGCAACTGCCAAACTGCATCGGGGCGCTCGATGGCAAGCATGTTGCCTTGCAGAAACCAGCTGGCACCGGTTCAATCTACTTTAACTATAAGGGCTTTTGCAGCGTCGTGCTCATGGCCGTAGCTGACGCCAGATACAGGTGAGCCCGACAGAAGGCTAGCATCTCGAAGTGGATTATTTTACCTCGTATTATTTTACTTAATGTCGCATTGTCATCATCCTTACATCTGAAATTCGACTAAGGACGAAAACCGTACTTGTTGCCTTGTAAACCTCACGTACCCTTGTCGCAATGTTTCCGAGATTTTGTGGGAATGCTTTTTTGTATAAGTTTCCGAGATTTTGTGGGAATGCTTGTTTGAATAAGTTTATGAGATTTTGTGGGAATGCTTGTCGGTGACATCCGCCCCCTCGCCCGTTGGACTTTTGAGTCTGACCCTGTCTAACGACCACCCGGTCGATCATGTCAAACTAATTGCATGTATTGGCATTGTTGCCTCTACCCATCTCGAATTCAATTACGTAAATGATTGGTGTAAGGTAACGATAGCATGAATAATACTCGTATATCCGCCGCTTCCGTGAATGAGTGAAAAGCCACGTTTATTGTGGACCTTATTCGAACACATCTGAATCTGAATCTGAATCTTCTAGCATTAACAGTCCTATAAGATTGCGTGCGCCCTGTTCGCGAATCATTACGGTGATATCTATCATACAACACCCACTGCCTCCGTTTTCAAATCTGATCATTTTGATTAGCCTACTCGATGCTACTGGACACCGCGTCAATCTCGTGCTGACAATACTTTCGTTCTACAGGTTCACCTACATCAGTGTCGGCAGCCAGGGCAGCGAAAGTGATGGCGGCATTTTCGCCAACTCCGATCTGGCCGCACTGCTGCGTCGACACCAGGAGGTGGGCGACGTTCTGCCGCCACCGAAGGCGCTGCCGAACACCGACGAGGAGCTGCCCCACTTCCTAGTCGGAGACGAGGCGTTCCCGCTACAGCGCCACCTCATGCGGCCGTACGCGAGGGCGTCGCTGGTGGGATCGGAGGCGGACCAGCGGCGCATCTTCAACTACCGTCTGAGTCGTGCGCGCCGCTGCGTCGAGAACGCCTTTGGGATCCTGGCTCAACAGTGGCGAATCTACCGTGGGAGCTTGGGCTGCACGCCAGAAAAAGCCGCCTTGCTGGTGAAAGCAACGTGTGCTTTGCACAATCTCCTGCGCCAGCGAGACGTGGATGCCGACAGTGTCAGCCGCAGCTACGCAGCCGTCCCCGCCGAGCGTGACGCCGCGCCCACCCTGCGGGGCATCGGTAGGATGGGCGCCAACAATCACTCGCGGGAGACGGCCCGCGTCCGCCAGGCCCTGACCGCGTATGTGAACGGCGTCGGCAGCGTCCCGTGGCAGAGAGCTGCAGCTGGCCTTGACCAGTGAAGCTGGAGGTGGGCGTGACTGTCGTGCGTGTATCTGTTGTGGGTGCCGCTGTCGCGGGCGTGGGTGTTTCTGTCGTGGGTGTGGCCGCCGTGCGTGGGTCGCATGGAGAGGCGTGTGGTGACGGCGGTGTGCACTGTGGGCCCAGTTCATACGCAAGCTCTACCTGTTATGATTTGTTCATTGTCTTTTGCTGTTACGCGTTGTGCCGCGCTGGCGGCTCCCCGGCCGGCCAGCGGGCCCGCCGGGCCAAAGCCTACCGTCCAGACGATTGTATGGTAGGCGCACTCGGCGCGCCCGCCCATTGGTCGCGGTGTGTCACGTGATTGCGCGGAAGATGTCGAAGAACTGAACGTCTTATTCGAGCGGATCTGGCTGTGCGTCGAGTTGACGCTGACGGCTCGATCCTGGCTGAGCGTCGAGCTGACTGTTCGTTTTACCGATTCAATATACCCTGGTTTACCGGGTGTCCGATTCGTGACACACATCTACCAACGCCTCCAGCTACTGGCGATTTATTTATGTTATGTGCTCATTTTATTATGTGCACGATGAACTGATGTTAAAAAAGTTGGTCATTACGTACTTATCACCACTGAGCTTTCTTTTGTGGTCGTGGACAAAAACGTCTGGCAAAAACAACAGCATACATTTTGCGAACTTTATTACATTTACAATACCAACAGGTATTGTAACAACAGGTAACCCTTACAACAGGTGTTGTAACAATACCAACAGGTAACCAGTGGCGCCAATGGCTGCCACGAGCCGACTGCAGTAGGCTCATGGCAAAACTACAAAACAAAACAGCTACAAAACAATCACAGAAAAAACGCGCGTCTACATCACATCATCACAGATCACAAGAGCTACTGGTAAAGCTCGGCGACCAGGCGCGCCAGCTTGCCGCGGAACTCCCGACGGGCATCGCCCCCACGCTCCAGTGCCTGCATCTCGCTCATGACGATGTTGCCCCAGTGGACGCACTCGGGATCAAACTGGGTGCGCCCACGCCGCATCTCATCCAGTTCGGTGACCAGCTGCGCGTCGACGTCGTCGGTCGCTCGTCGGCGCCTCCCACCGGCACGCTGGCTGGTTGTGGGTGTTGCTGTCGTGCGTGTGGCTGTCGTGAGTGTGGGTGCTGCTGTCGTACGTGTGGCTGTCGTGAGCGTGGGTGCTGCTGTCGTACGTGTGGCTGTCGTGGGCGTGGGTGCTGCTGTCGTACGTGTGGCTGTCGTGGGTGTGGGTGCTGCTGTCGTACGTGTGGCTGTCGTGAGCGTGGGTGCTGCTGTCGTACGTGTGGGTGTAGCTGTCGTGAGCGTGGGTGAAGGTGTTGTAGGTGTTTCTGTCGTGGGTGTGGCCGCCGTGCGTGGGTCGCATGAGGTGGGTGCGTGAGAGGCGTGTGGTGACGGCGGTGTGTACTGTGTCTCTGATTCATATCCATATGAAACCTCTACCAGCGCCGCCGGCGAGGGGACCGAGGAGCAGTCGTCCAGAAACAGAACATCCGTCTCGAGCGGGTCTGGTGCGACGACGAGTTGACGCGGACGGCTCGGTCCTGGCTGCCGGCTGGGTCCAGCGTCTCCCGCGGACTGCGACCTCTCACAGGGGGGAACAGGACGCGGAGAAGGATCTGGTAGCTCCAGGTTGGATGAGGTCCTGAGGACATGTAAAAGGTTGGCATAATTAAGTAAATTACGTATCAATTTCTAAAGGTCTTTACGTATCGTCATGTTTAGTCAGCTCGCTAGATCGCAAAAACTCAGCTAGATCGCAAAATCCGCCGATTCCGGCCGAACGGGGGGAACCAAGTTTGTTTAATAAACTTGGCTATTATTATTATGATGATGATGATGATGATGAACATGACCTGACATATGACGACATAACCATAGGCGTAGGAGCGTTTGAAAAAAGTGTGTGTGTGTGGGGGGGGCAGCATCGGTGTTGAGGAAACCGAAGTTACTTCGAAATGCTTCGCGGCGGCACGAAATTTTGTTGAGCGGGGGGAGGGAGGCGGAGGCAATGCAGTTTTTAGAACGACGTCAGAGATCCGACATGCATTTCAGTTCACCTGCGGCGCAGAGAGTGCATTATTTGGGTGTCATTGTGAATGAAACGTGGTTGTCGTGTGTTCCAGCCCCTTTCCTTTATCCTCCCCGTGCCTACACTAGATTCCTTTCCGACTTTTAAAGTATCCTCTGTCTGGTAGCCCGTCCTGGATCCTTCACATTGCGCTGGATAAGCCGAGTTGATTTCACCCCCGTCTCGTCCTCGCGGTTCCCCGGTATGCCTCAGTGCAACCGGGATGCAAAAAAAAATCATCGCGGTTGAGTTCCGCCCTGACTGCCGCCGTGTTTGTATCGCCGCCAGTGTTGTTGATAGTCGCCGCCGCCGAAGAGATAATATAAAGTAAAATCAATCAATTTTTCTCGATAACGAACCGGCCTTTATTGTTTATTCATCACAGTGGTCATTAACCCGCGCATGACTTGGGGGAAGGGACTCTAAAAGTGACCTGATCTCCGGTAAATTCAGCTAAAAAATGACCTCAAATGACACAGACGACAGTATTTTCGAAATCTACGAGTAAAATGGACCATAAAACATGCGTCACGTGACCGATACATGATATAAAATTTTCGTGACCTAGGATCAGGGCTGCGGAGTCGATGGATTTTAGTGTGACTCCGACTCCGACTCCGGCTTCGAAAATCGACTCCGACTCCGACTCCAACTCCGACTCCAACTCCGGGCGGTTCCATTAAAATACATATCATGATATTTAAGTTCATAAAAGAGATGTTTTTATCTTGCCTGAAACGATCTCCTGTGCGTTCCAAGGCTTTGCGTTGCAAATAAGCGTTAAAAATAGCATGCAGCATTAAAAAAGCAGGTTCCGGGGAATTCACCGTCTGCTGCTTCTTTCGCTGAAAACGTTCGTCCAAAACAGCAAAATGGCCTTTTTTTCGACAAAATCTAATTTCGAGCGCAGTATCGTCAATTAAACAGATGCAGTGCATGACGCTGAGCCATGCAGCGTTAACTCCGACTCCGACTCCAACTCCGGGCAGAACTGTCGACTCCGACCGACTCCAACTCCGACTCCGACTCCGCAGCCCTGCCTAGGATGACCTGGTCTTGACCCGAAAAATTCACAGTTAAGGTTCGGTACCCTCAGGGTATCTAAGGCATATATCAAGGAGTGCGTAAACCAGAAATGATCCTGATCGGACTTGTCAGCCGGCGGCCAGAGCCTAAATTGTGAATAAGCAAAAATGCCGATAATTTTTACTTTGACCTGACCTGTGAGGTCATCAGTGACCTTGAGGTCAATGAAAATAGGTTTCGCTCGACAATTTTTGCAGGGCTATCAGATGGCGTTTGAATTTTGACGATCGGCCCCGCCTAGTTTCGGAGATAGGAGGGGGGGGGCTCTGGAGAGCCCCCCTCGTCAGTCACTCGCGTTATGGAAAATACCCCAGTCATGCGCGGGTTAAATCAATGAGCATCGCGGAACGCTAGGTAAATACTCATAGGTCGCATATTTGTCAATGACAATACAGTGTAGTGTAACTTACTCCGCGCGCCGCCTGACCCTGTCCAAAAACGGTAGGTCGTACGGGTGCGGCCTCCTGGGAGTCTGCTGGGCCCCGGACCCGCTAGGGAGCTTTTGCTTCCTCCTCTGGTACGCCGTTCTCAGGTTTTTGAACCTCGCCTGCGCCGCGGCGCCTGCAACAGTGTAAAACAAATCACATTATAGATCATTGTGCAAACTGGTAAGTACGAGCACAGTTTTACAACAGAAACAGATTCAATCAACTGATAACTGATTTTCCAGTAGGTATGACTTCTGAGTGCCCAACTCTAATTTGAATATTGTTTGAACCTTTCATACAACATATCAGCGAAGGAGATATATTAATGTTATCTCCACAGTAGACAACTAACAAGATAAGTAGCCGAACTTAATACGTTTTTTATCAGTTTTCAGTTTGTGCAATGCATTTCCTTGCCCATCCACAATACACTTGTCTTTGCTGGTTTAAATAGCCACGATAGCAAGGAACTAGATATGCATACATTTACATTGCAAGTGCATTAATATTGTTTTGATTTCCATATCGCAGTTGTAAAGTTGGCTATTTTCTTTACTCACTGCTTAAAAAAGAGCTCAGCAATACATACTTGTTAGACCATTGCAACATGGGCCTACCTGAACAGCCACAGGCCTCTCCGACAGCACGCCAAGCACCATCTTTTACTGTTTTATTTGAGTACTGTGGAACACTGAGATCCCACAGTAGAGGGCGCCGCTCCACCTCCTCTATCAGTTGCTGGGTATCTGTGGGCAAAGCACATGCAGGTCAATGCTTACATCAGTGCTTGTTTATTGGGGTTAGGGGCGCATCTCTTCTGAGTTATGACTGATGTAATATCTAGAAGCAATTTACGACATAATTTTGAGCATGACAATCTGATGACATTGACAACCAGTTTGATGGACTACAGTAGAGAAAACATGAAATTTGTTTTAACATTCTGTCAGTTTGTCACTTGGTGAAGGCAGAAATGCAGTAGGTAATGACATCACCCACCATTACCAATCGTTGTAAACTACATGCATTTGCTTTAGTTGTTCAAGAGCTTACCCAATAACAAAATAAGGTTTACTGCACATGCAAAAGTACAATCAAATTACAATCAGCATACATAATCCATTGGCAGTCAAAACAGGCTCCCACTTGAGGTGATATGTACTCAGACGCAAAGTGGCTTAACCCTCGCCGGCAAAGTGGGGGATGCAAGGATGCAAGCACCCTCATGTTTTCCACACATCCCACAAAGGCATACCTATGTTTTAATTTCAACCAAAGACATTTGGCTGAAATTAAGTATACCTATGCGTCCATCCTTTTCCAACTACTCTGAAAATTTTGGGGTCATGTCATGTCAGGTCACCACATTATGTCATATCCTAGGTCATGTGTGTACATAATAAACAGATTTTGTGAACAATCTGAGTGTTCTTGCTCACAGATAACTCAAGATGGTGAGCCTGGAGACTTTGGGATGGTTACCCCTCAGACCTCAGGATAATGTCCGACAGACTTTGTGATGGTGCGCCCTGACTCAGGATGGTGTCTCAGACCCTTGAGATGGTACCCCCTCAGACCTCAGGATGGTGCCCTCAGAGAACTCAGGATAGTGCCCCAGGATAACTTTAGAAGGTGGAGACCCTGGACCGGGGACCCTGGAGACCTTGGAAATAGTACCCCCACCCCACCCCACCTCCTGAGGGACAGAAACAGTGCCTCCAGGAGACCTAAAAATGGTGCCCTATTCTAACACACCTTCTAGATGATGCCCCATTACCTCTGTAATAAAGCTCCTATAGGTTGAGGTGACCTCCGGGATGGTGCCCCAGGAGGCACCCTGACCCAGATGTGACGTGGCCCCCTGGATCCGCTATTGCCTATGACATCCTGCTTTCAGATCCCATTGCCAAACTAAGTGCTTTTGTTGTAGGTTAAGCTCCACATCATTTTTGAACCAAGTACTAATAGGAACTCTCATTCAGTTCCAAGTTAATATATGGGTAATATATGGAGGTTTAATGCTACATTTAAACTTATTAAATGGGGCCTACCAACTTTTGCAGATATCAAAGTTGCATATGAAATATTCCAAATGTTGCACACAGATGGAGCTATGTATTGGGTGTAGATGTGGTCCCTGCCGTACGGTGGTTTTGTCCTTCAACAAAGATAGCTGTGATAGGTATGTTACAAGCTATAACCATTCCAAACCAATGCAATGCAAGCAATCAAACCAATGCACAAGCATTTCTGCTCACCTAATTTTCGGAAACATTGCAAAAATGGCTGAAAATCCTACACAATCCAGAATCAGGATGGACCACCATGGAGGGTCTCAGGATCCAGACTAGATTCTGAGCAATTTTCCAGGGCGCTGTTCAGTCAGTTTTTTTTTATCAGCAGGCTGCAAGCATGCTGCTGGTTCTTGGATCCTCATTAATCGAATTCACGTGGCCTATTCATTTGACCAATGAGAGGCCAAGAAGCGCCAGCAATAACTTCCTCATATGGGAAAAACCGACGGCATGCTGATAAAAACAGCAACCGAGCAGAGCTTGGATTATTTGACTCTGACAAAATGAGACAATTTTTAGATGCTTTGGACTTGGAGGCATTCATAAGCATAACTGCTTCCACAGAAATTTAGCACTTGAAGGTAATTACTTTCGGTTTTCACTGTCAACATGATTTTAGCTTTTGTTTGTCTAGAAGCCAGGCACAAGACTTATCAGGAATGATTCATAACAAAAATTGCCACCTACTTATTATCCATATTTAAATAATATGTATCAATGTTTGAAAGGCTTCTTGGCAAAATGTAAGATCCTTCACGGGCTTCAGATCTAGCACACTTCCCTACCATGGCTAGAGAAATGATTTCAGAGGTGGGGGGGGGGGGGGGACTAGGCCTTCAGGGGCCCTGAAGGAAAAGGGCCCCCAAGTGTCTCAAAAGGCCCAAAATCATATTACCTTCATTATCCATGACTTGCTGTACATAGGAGATAGGTGTCTGGAAGCCAGACTGGAAATAATACACATTGTGCCGAATATGTCCGGCGAAAATTTCAGCGCACGTCCTGCGTAACTTCGCATGCGCCGAATTCGGCGCATGGCGGCGGACGCCATAGCCTTTATATAGCCTTGATCGGTAGATGTGGACATGCGCTTTATTTAAAAAGGGCTTAATTTTCGCACAAATAGGCACATAATTTTTGGCGAAAATCACACAGAAATTTCAGCGCAAAATCACTTGCGCCGAATTGCTTGCGCCGAATTTCGGCGCAAGAGGGTCTCACCGGCGTCCGGTGTAGTGTATGGATGTTTTCCAGTCTGGTCTGGAAGGAAATTATGCCTAGCAAACACCTTTCTGTCAAATTTTAATGTGTGATGAAGAACTTGGTGACAAAATAGATAATAACGGAGGGGCCCTGGTACGACTTGCAGAGGCCCTTATTGGGCTCACGGAGCCGCAGCAGGGCTGAAAATTTACAGAGTCACCAAGTTTACACCAATACATGCCCAAGTGGTTAATTTTCTTTAAAACATAAGTCAAAAGGGCCCACTTTTGTTATATATCAGGCCCCCCAGGTCCCCCCGGAAATGGAATTAATGGGGCCTGGGGGGACGGTCCCGCACGGCTTCTCCGGCTCTGATCCCCACCAATAAATCAAAATTGAGACCAATATCCAACCAGTAAAAATCCCTTTCATATATCCTGACTAGTAATCGGCAAAGAGGACGGTATTTTGTAAATATCTTACCTATTTGCTGCTCCATAGCTACTTGCTCGTACTGCAGGACCATCCAGCAACACCTCAGCGACAGCCAGAAAGTTCAAAATATTCAACTTCTCGGCGATCGAGAGCAACAGCTCGTTCATTGGTTATAATTATCGTGACGTCACGCTCCGCGACCGTCGGCGATCGTCGGATGTTGCCGACATATTGGGCAATTTTTGAACAACCCTGAATAGCATTTGGCAGCACTTCAGCAACCCAGAGCAACAGAAAAGGCTGTTGCCGAGCAACCGATTGCTGGGAATTGCCGACGGGAGTTGCCCGTGTACAACGGCCTTTAGCTTCAAGCTGTGAGTGGGTTATGAGCGCCCCTTGCGAGACTAGATCGCCGACACATTTTATTTCTCGCTCATAAAGTTCTGCGAAAAATATTGATTTCCTATCTATCTTAATATGTTTATTGCGCCACAACCTCTGCTTGTACACCGCTTGTGGCGTGTTGCACTCGTCTTTTGCCTGCACAGTCTCGTACTCTCTGAGCGCAGAAATGTAAAAAGGCGGGATTCCTAAGGCCGACAGATCTTTGGTGTCAAAGTCAGTGCACAGCAGATCTTCCAATTTGAGTTTTCCTATTGTGTTTTGCAACAGAAGTCTCCATGGTGAATGAGTACTAGTTAACATTCTACGACACCAAGTTAGTCTCAGCGCAGAAATATGGCTGGTTGTTGCCGAAGCGTCATTATTCTTTTCCTCAGGTTAATAAATATCTAAAAAGTTAATTGTTTTCAAAACGGGCTTCGCTGAGGAAAACTAAATATTATAACCAAATATTTCGGCTTTATTGATCAGCCTTGTTCACTGGTTTGAAATACATTTTTCTCAAAAACATGACCTAAAAATTCAAATATTCCTATCGTGCCGTCAGTGATGACGATCTTCTAGCTTACGAAAAACCGAACAAATGAATCGTGGTGAAACACATTTCAAGGCACACTGTAACAGGCAAACGCACACATGTTCCTATCTCAACGCAATGTCCCAAATAGGGCTGATGGTGACCTTTCCGATCCCCCTGTTCATTGACGAATTGTGCACCTTAATCTCCAGTGCCTCACGGATAGTCCTACGCTTCCAGTTTCTTTCAACTGCCAATGTTTTCGCGTCTCTTGGATTTAATGATTTGTTGCATGAGTAGGCATGCTGAGCTGTTGCTGACGTGTCTGTGCGGCCATGTTTTAAATCAGCCATGTGCTCCTTCATTCTGGTTGATTTTGGACGTCCACTTTCTCCTATGTAGGACTCACCGCACTCACATCTGATCTGATAGACGGTGCCTTTTTTTCATCTCAGGTGGCACTTTGTCCTTCACCTGCATTAAATGGTCTCGAAGTGTTCTTGACTTGTGTCCCGTTTTGATGTGGTGCTGCTTCAAAAGTCTTGCTATGGGCTCACTTAACCCCTTTACGTATGGAAGCGAAATGTATGTTGTGCGGGTGACCTCATTTTGATTGACTGTATCCTGGTCTGTGTCATCTTTTTGTTGGTTTCGCACATCGAAGCCCTTTTTTATCACGTGGCTAGGATAGCCGTGTTGTCTGAAAACAGTCTTCAGAGGCCTCTTGCACCAAAATCCTCTTGCACCAATGCTTGGATTATTTTGCAACGTATACCCAGTCCAAGCCTCAATTGTAACAATTTGCGTGCAAAATTTAGCAAGCACATGTAGGAGTATGTATTGGGCTATTGCAAACAAATATACCACCGTTAGATTAGCTTATTCTGAAACCGGTTTTTCGATTTTACCTAGCTAGGTAGTTTGGTGCAAGAGGCCTCAGATGTTCTTTCTCTTTGGCTTCTGCTTGTTTGGTACTTGAAATTTTCTCTGCTCGCCGGACTAGATTCTTGATGACCCCCACTTTCATCATTTCTGGGTGGTTTGAGTTGTTTCTGATGTATGCGTCGCTGGCAGTTGGTTTTCTGTAGACAGCGGTGTGCAGACCACCTGTACCGCTCCTGCTAACACGTACATCAAGAAACGACAGCTGGCCGTACGCTTCTCTCTCTGAGGTAAATTGTATGCTGGGGCACACACTGTTCATGAATTGAAAGAACTCATCAAGAGCCGCTTCCCCATGAGACCAAATGACAAAAGTGTCATCTACATAGCGGCGCCAGTATGTTGGCTTGAGCGGTGCTGCAGCCATTATTCTATCCTCTAGATACTCCATGTACGCATTGGCCAGGACAACTGACAAACTGAGCCCCATTGGAGCGCCCTCTACTTGTTCATAGTATATTATTATTTATATTCCATAGTATATTATTATTCATATTCCAGGGGCAGTACTATGAACAAGTAGAGGGCGCACCAATGGGGCTCAGTTTGTCAGTTGTCCTGGCCAATGCGTACTATTGGTCTCAAGATAAGGGTCCAGGCGACCTGTAGGTTTGATGCGGTGAATACCCCCACCTTCGCCACACTCGCTCGGGCTACGGAGCTCCGATCTCGCGACCGGTCACCTGTACTTGTAGACTGTGCCGCATGACATAGCAGTCGAGCGGGCCAGCGGAGCTTAGGCGGAAACTAGCGCCGCGTTTGACAGAGAAGGACGCTTACCATTCCGGCGGGAGGGCCGCTCGCCATTTTAACTCCATGTAGCGTCTCGCTGACAATGAAAGACACTACAGGACGACAATATATCTTTCCGCAAAAGTTATGCCCACTACCTATGACAACACTTTCCTGTTCCTAATCGTGTCCACACCTGAGGGATGACGATTCAGGCTGCACTCCTGCATTGCGCGGTCCTTGGCCGCAGAGCACATGAGGTGACGATCGAAACTCGGGTCACGGATCACCGAGCTACGGCCAGTTTGACAGAGATTGTCCACCTGAACGGCTGCGTCGCTACGTGAATGTCTGAAATTTCTATCAAGGGAGCTGAACCAGACAGTCGGCATGCTCCAGGCCGAAATGGCACAGCGTATCATTGCTGATTGGCTGGGACATCTGCCTTTTTTTGTTTGCAAGTCTTAATTATAGACGAACTGTCTGCACAGTCCGGTGTTGATGGGATTGGCATACGGCTGCTGGCAGTGTTGCTGATCGTTCCAGTTTGCCGGCGTGCGCCTACCATTTCAAACGTTACAGAAATCGCATTGAAAAAGGCGACCGGGAAGAGGGGCCAGTAGTTGGCGACAAAGTTGGCCAAGCGGCTCGCGCTGAAGCGCTATCACATCTCCAAACAGGACCGTGAGACGCAATTGGAAGAGCTCCCCAAGGCTCATTACCTACCTTCGGCCCAATACTAAGCCAACGCATGGTCAATGACATGTTGACATGCATTTTCAATCAGGACGGTGCGCCAACTCATCGCTCTGCCAAGGCCTAGCGGTGGTGCGAATTGAACGTGCCAGACTTCTGAAGGAAAGAGATGCTAGCCGGCTGCCCTCCGGACCTCATCCTGATCGACGAACTTCGAGCTATCGTCCAGCAGGACCTGAACAAACAGAAGCCGGCGGCCAACCTCGGCGCCTTGTCGTTATAGCTCAAACGGGCATGATAAAAAAAATCCAGCCGTATTTACTGCACAACCTAGTTGCCAACATGCAAATTTGCGTTCGTATGTAAGTCCCTGTTCGTGGGGAATAAACTGAGCGCTAAAGAGAATCGCTGTCCCTGTAGTAACTTAGAGAGAACATTTTTTTTTTCTAGAGGATAAAACTTATGCCGGAACATGTAGCTCACGCATCATTCATTGCAGTTTCACCTTGACTGCAAGACGTGGCAATTTGTTTAGGACATAGCAATTAATGTTGTCATGATCGGCATACCGCCGAGAACGTCACTATTTATATCATTATCTTAACGGTTGCATATTTCAACCTTCATAACTTTTAATTTCCTACTGTTTCATATGATTTCATTTATGGCGCTGAACAAGTGTTGAACAGTTTATTTCAATAGCTGCATTGTTAAACCTCCGGTAGGGTTAACCATTAAACAATATGTTAAGTGTTACTCTCGCCCCGTTCGCTATGTGTTCGCTTTATACTTCTATCAAACGTGATATCATTCCAAGAAAGCACTAATAGTGTAGAGTGTAGAAGCCATTCCCACTGATGGGACTCGAAGCGATGCAGCTGGGTAATGCATAAGGCTGATTGGCGAACTTCAGCTTGTAGACGAGACAAGGAAACGTTCTCAAAAATCAAATCCACACGTAACAAACATATTTCAAGAGTGCACGTATTTCGCTGTCGTTGTATCCGTTATTCCTCGTCGGACCTATCGGCTTTCTGAATACCGAGAGACGTCTAGAGTGTGTGTGTGTGGGGGGGGGGGGTCCCCGCCGCCGTTGCGCCCATTATTAAGCTAAAAGCCTTGCAAACAAAAACAATACCCAGCGATTCACAATCAAGTTAAAAGTGTCAGATCAGCATGTGACCTGTGAGGTCAGGTCACGTGCACAAGTACAGGGTGTTCATTAGCGAATGACGTAAAGTAAGCCCCCGCTGCATGGAGCCCCAAATGATCGCCGGCCATCGTGCAGACGAAGCCTTCGACGACTCACGGCAGCTTTCAGTTCATCAAGGGTCTTGGACTCTTGAGTTCGCTCCGCATTTTGAGTTGCTTGACGTTAAACGGTGAAGTCCAAGCAGGAAAAATCCAGACTGCAGAGTGACCAGGGGTGCTGGGATCTTGTTCAGTTGCTCGAAGGTGAAGAGAGTCTAGCAATTCTTCAGTAATCTGTCCGGTATTCACGTTCGCAATGGCTTAAGAAACCTGGAAAGGCATTTTTAAGTATATGGACTTGTGATGTCAATTACAGAAAGTCGTGATACCGATACCAAACCAAATACCAACAGGAACCGTGGGAAAATACCGAAACCGAACCGACTTGGGAATATCAGGGAAATGCCAACTTTTTCCAAAGTCACAGTCTCTTTTACAGTAGCGATGATTCACAATACCAACAAAATACCAAATGTGTTAGCCTCGAAACGCCAAATACCGACTTGGTATCGGTTTGGTATCGGTATGCCAAAAAGTTGGTATTTGATTGACATCTCTAATATGGACAATCCTCCACAAGAAGAAACTGAACTGGAAACATTATCGTCCGATCCTAATGACCGTCATCTTCCCTGACAGCATGGTGTCGAGGCTGGAAGCGTGCACCTTTTGGCTCACGGCTCAGTGAAGCGGAAGAATGGCTCGAAAGGGTGATATTGAGTGACGAAAAGTGGCTCGCGCTACAGCAACCACCCGCAAGAATAATACAGGCTCCTTCGCCGAAGAATCCACACAAGTTGATTCCA